GCAGAGATTCATGACTGGTGAACAAATCTGTTTAAGAATTCCCCTTTACAATTCTTAACTAACTTATATGTTTCATAAAATCCTTCATAGTTTCTGGTAGTAATGTGTCAAAATGGGAAAAAGGTCAAGGAGTATGAACACTTTTGTAAAGCAGTGAATTTACAAAGTTACAAAGTTGGTTTATTGAACAAAAATAGATCCAGTCATACGGCATAACTCCATAAATGAGTCCAGCACCTCCCATATTGTTATATTGCACCATATTCTGACAAAGCCAACTGTGAACGCTGTTAAGTACTTTCTGTAACTCTTCCTTGGCACTCTGTCCATGGCCTTGCTCACACTGATCAGACGCTCAATGCTTTACATTTCAGAGGAGGATAAAAATGAAAAAGGGGCAACAGCAGATTCGGTGCAGCAGCGACGTCAATATCGCAGGCAGAATCAACAGTCCTCTTCAGGTTAAGAAGCGTTTTTGTTTTTCTACGTTATTTTTTTCACCCTTCTTTCTAACCGAGTCTCCTTCTGTCATCTTGCCTCCATCGTCTCATGGACTTTAGAAGCTGTGTCCTTGTCCCAACCTTGGTGTTGTTGTTTTTGTCTTTTCAGCAACTCGTAAAGCCATGAGAGAAAAAAAAAAGTTAGATTTTTGTTTTCTTTCTTTCAGATTCAGGATCTTCCTCCTCAGAAGATGAAGGACCTAAGAGGTCAGCAGCAGGGCCAGGCGCCAGAAATGGTGAAGTAAGGAGGAAACGCAGCCGTACGCCTTCACCTCGTAGGCGACATAGAGATCCCTCCCCGAGGTCAGACAACTTGATTTTTAAACAACTAGATTATTTGATAGTGATTTGTTCCGCATATAATTTTCATATTTTTCCTAATGTGAAGTAAAAAAAACAAAAAAAACAATTGTTTGACGCTTGTACCTTCAGGAGGAGACGTTCTCCATCTCCTGGACGCAGACGTCGCTCTCCTTCTCCCCCTCGACGTCGTAGATCTCCCTCCCCTCCCAGACGCAGGTATGATCTTGCTACTGATGAAGAACGCTAGCATTTAATATTTGAAAAACTGGTTTGCTTTATAAATGCTTTTCTTCCCAGGTCTCCTTCCCCTCCTCCCCGCCGTCGCTCTCTGTCCCCCAGACGATATTCTCCCCCTATCCAGCGCCGCTACAGCCCCTCACCTTTGCCTCCACAGAAGAGGAAGCTGTCCAGTTCTCCCACGAAGCGCTTTTCTCCAGGCCCTAAGCGACGCTCCTCCAGATCACCTAAACGTAGAAGCTCTCCTGTACAGCGGCGACGCTCGCCTCCTTCCTCCTCGTCTCCCCCGAGACATAGAAGGAGCCCACTGTCTGCCAGGCCGAACAGGGACACCCGATCCCCGGTCATGTCTGCTAGACGCCTATCCCCCTCCCCTGCTAACCGAGGTCGCCCTGTTCGGCGGTCCACTAGTCCCCAGAGACGCTTTGATTCGTCCAGCACGTCCCCCTCCGCCCAACGAAGACAGCAGTCCCCTCCACATAGCAGTAAGCTCATCCGTAGGGTGTCTCGCACCCCAGAGCCGCGTAACAAAAGGTGAGTTTAGGACATGTTTCCATCAGATGCAGATTTAATGTCGCTTTTCAATAGCCTCTAAATTTCTTTCTTTTCTTTTTTTTCTTTGATAGAATCTCTCCCAGTCCGAAGCCTATAAGAAGAGCTTCGTCCAGATCCCGATCGCTTTCCCCTCAACCGGCAGCTCAGAAACGTCCGGCCCCGGCTCTGGCCCCGGCCTCAGCTTCCCCGTCACCTTCCCGCTCCGCCAGCGGGTCTCCACCTCCTCCTCCCCCGGCCAAAAAGGCTACCAGTGGTTCTGGCAGTCAGTCTCCCAGCAAGGTTTGTCCAGTACAGTCGCTTCTCAATAAACTAGAATGTCATCAAAGCTCATTTATTTTATGCAGCATCAGAAATGCCATGTGTGTATTTCTAGTCATTTTGATTAACAGCTAATGAAAAGTTTTTAGAAGTATGAAGACCAGTTTCTTAAAACTAAATGGAGAGTCTCTGAATTTGAGCTGCTTGATGACAAATGTTAATCCTCCACAGTCTGTTCTGATTTGAGGAGCCATGTCATCTGCTGGTATTTGTCTGAATTCTTTGATCAAAACCACAACTGCACCACCAAAATATTTAAAGGACTTCGTGCCTCTCTGCTGAGTTTTGTGAGGATTCTGATTTCATTCTCCAGCAGGAACTGGAGTCCTGATGCCTGCTTTAATGACTATGATGTCATCTAGCTTAATTTTTCAGCCTTCTGATCTGAATTAAACCCCATAGAGAGTTTACTAAGTCTTAAAAGGAAGATAAGACACCAGAGTTAGTGATGCGGATGAACTGAAGGCCAGTATTGAATACGGTTGTCACAAAATTTGATACTCCACCATTTTAGATACTGAAGTAACCTTTTCTGAAGTCGTAGGATTCTTTCTAATAAAGAGCAAAGGGTTGTAAACTGTTACTTAAGATGTGTAACAATATGCTTACTGTGCTGCTAATACACTGTAATTATTTTATCTAGGAAATAGATTTTTTTTTTCCTTTTACAATGTAGACCTCATAGACAAAATACTTCAGATCAGTCATCTCCAGATAAACTCGCCATGTTAGTGGATTTTTAAACTTCACAATTAAACTGATAGTTTGGACGAGCCTCGGCAAATGGCGGCATGGTTTAGTTGTCTGTTTAGCCAAGTTTGTATCTTTGATTTTTTTTTTTTTTTTTTTTTTTGGTATTTCATATCTAATTTTCTGTGTAAAAATTAAATTTTTAAATACTAAAGTAATTTCACATTTTGATACTTTTTAATTTTCTCAGATGCACCTGTCCTTAAATTTATGACAGAAAAAGGAGCTCATGACTTTGACAAAGTTCAATTCTATGACGTAAGCGAGGTTACATTTACATTAATCATAATGTAAACATCCATTTGGTTTTTTTTTTCAGAATTCAGATGTTGATGGTGGTGGAAAGAAAAAGAAGAAGAAGAAGGAAAAGAAACACAAGAAAGATAAGAAGCACAAAAAGCACAAGAAGCATAAGAAGGAGAAAAGCAGTGCTGCTGCGACCGGAGACGTCCAAGAGAGTCGACCTGCAGAGGAAGACGGCGATTCGAGAAAGGTAAAGGATTCTTTTGTAGTTTTTTTTTTTTTGCGCCGATGAGGGCATGATATCAAAATTATTTTTGGTAAATTTAAAAGAAGATACATTAATCTTTGTGCAGGAATCGGAGAGTGAAGTCGATGACGCCTTAGACGATCTGGAAAAGCACCTCCGAGAAAAGGCACTGCGCTCAATGAGGAAGGCCCAGATGTCTCCTTCAGAGATGTCCTGAAACATGAAGCTTTTGAGTTTTCCTTTCACTTTTGATGTTTGTCATCATCCTAGGTTCAGCTTTAGAATGTACAAATTGTTGATTCTTGAATCTTGTTTCTTTTTACAGGTTTGGTACATTCTGGAAAGTGAGTTTCTTTAAGAAAAAAAAAAATGGATCCATTAGATAGTTTATCTAAACTGTAAAACTTGTGTTGTCAATACTTTGAGATTGTTAAACAGGAGAAATTTTTAATTTCATAGGTTTGAGTTGGGCAGGTTAATGATATGTTGATGTACAGTAGATCATTTAAGAAGCGATTGCATGTTCAGTGATTACCTCTGATGTGCATGGACCACTGACCATATGAAGAGCGTAGGGAAATAACACCATACAATAAGAAACTGTTACTAATGTCTTTTCACAGTGGAAGCTGCGTCAATGTCGTGCAGCTGAAGAGTCTTTAATAAAATATCCTGTTTCATATTCTAACTTAACTGAGGTGTTGGATTATTTAACCTGCTTTATTCTGACTTTGAAATTGTCTTATTTGAAAATGAAAGCAATTTGATGTGAAACATGCTTTATTATTATTTTTTTTTCTAAATTGATTGATATGCAATTTATGTTGATGCCCCTGACCTGTGCTAATTTCTGTGGGACTGCTATAGTGTATGATTTGTATTTAGTAACCTTTTCTCTCATCATCCTGTCATCCTTTCAGAATTAAACCTTTTTTTAAGACACAGCGTAAACTTTTCTGTTTAAAACTGAATTTTTTCACTCATGTTTATCTACTAAAGAAGTATGATTGGCAAAGTGTAAAGCAAAGCACAGCTCCAAAAGTTTTGAAAAGTTATAGCACAAAGATGTATTGGTATTGATCTGATAACAAGTAAAGAAAAGGCACAGCATCTCCCAGCAGAGGTCTGATAGAGTCATGGCGCCCAGCAGGGTGATTCATGGAGTGGCCATCCAGTCATCACAGTGCCCTTTTTTTTTTTTTTTTTTTTTACTTGCTCACTTTTGATCAAATGTAAGTAAAACTATATACCATCTTTCAAGAGAAACATTGCAAAGCGCTTCTCAGTAAGATGGTACAACAGCTTGAGCCAACAATGCATAAAACAAGTTATTTGTAAAATCAAATATATTTAAAAAGATAAGTTTGCAACTTTTTAGAGATCACAGAGTTGAAAGGAAGAGAGCTCCAGAGTCTGGAGAAACAGAATGATCTGTTTTTCAGATTAGTCTGGGGGATCATTCAGCAGCAGTCCCTGATTTGATGCAGTAGTCCTCAGATACCCTGGTCCTTGTCCACAAAGAGCTCTTTAAGTCAGCAAAAGAAGCATTTTGAACAAATTACATCCGTTCCTGGAAGGTTTTGGTTCTCAGGTGATAAAAACTTGTCAGCAAGGTTTCATTGCTGTAATGTCAATGAAGATTTTTCTACTGATTGTGCAAGAGTATAGATAATTATTGACATGCCGTTTAAAAAAAAAAAAAGTAACTTAATTTTTGAAAAAGTAATTTAAAGTCAAAATGTCAAGGATATGGGGAATTCTGGACTTTGCTTTTCCCAGGGTTTAAAGTAATATGAATAACTATTATGTCGTAAATTAGCTTGCCATACCCATCGTTCCTCTGCAGTCAGCCACCAAGCGGCTCCGAGGGATCACCATCTTCAGCACAAGCTTCACCTCCCTCCCACAATTCCAATGACATCACGCTGCTAAGTATTCCCGATGCTTCTTCCCACCCTGAGCCATCACTGTTCTCCACACAAGACCAGCAGAGATAGCTTCGCGCTTTAACGATAGTTTTGTAGCTACGCTAGCGTAGTGGACATTGAAACAGTTGTACTTGGTAGACCCCGCTGCCCTTTTTCCTCCTTGTTCGCTTTTGTCTGCTTCTAACTGCCGCTCCTCCTCGGAGGGGAAGAAAATATCCACGAGGTTTTGGTGCTAAAATTACCAAAAGAAAGAGGGGGGAAAAAATAGAAGTGGTGGGGGGAAAGAACCGAACTGATTCGGGCGTGGTAGCAAGGGGGGAAAAAAAGTCATTTTTGCCCTAAAACTTGAGAGAAGCAGCCACAATGTCGTTATCCGTGCCACAGAACGGAGTAAAGGCGGACAACGAACCCGTCATCGAGCTTTTTGTCAAGGTAAGACTGCAGCACAAGTCGTAGAAGTTTTTTTTTATTATTATTATTATTGCGAAGACTCATTGCTACAGTAATTTCAGTGAGTAATTTGATTATTTAAGTCTCATTAACGCCTTTGGAAGCAAAAATCGTACTAATACATTCAAGTGTTTTTTTTTTTTTGTAGTTCAAACGTTTTATTTTAGCTACGTCTCGGTTGGAGGACTTTTTATTGTTGTGATATGCCAAGTGTTTTTGCCTCTTAAATACATATTCATGTTAAATAACTGGAACCAGGTGGAGTCTGCAGAGTGTTAGCCAGGGTGGATGTAGGTTTTACCCGCAAAGGTTGGGGGGCAGGGGAGGTAAATTGGAAACGGGGCGCTTAACAAAGGCTCACTGCGGTCAGTCTGGTTTGATCAAACAATGGGAATTATGCTTTTGTGCCATTTTCATTGTACCATTTTCATTGTGCTGCGTTTGTTCCTGAAAGGTGTCGTGTTCTAAAGCAGCTGATTGTCTTGGAAATCAGTTGTGTTAGTTAAATGTTTTGGGATTGTGGGCATCAAGTAGCCTGTGAAGTCCCCAGCTTGTTTTGTTTAAAGGTATGCTGGTTTTTGTTTCAACACAAAATTGGTGAAATTGTGTGTTTTTGTTTCAATGCAGCCTGTCTATTTGAATACGTATTTTCTACATTATACTATTCTAGTTGTTAGGGCCTACTGCGTTTAGGTCAGTTCATGCAGCTCTGCCTCATCAGGGACCATGATGATGGTGAGGACTTGTGAATGGCTGTTTTCTTTCTTTAGCATGTGTTCCTTTCCAGGGCGGGAAAATAGTAAATGGGAGGGGGGGAAGGGTAGTGGGAGGTGGTCCTGCATTGAGGGAGAGGTTGTTGGTTTGAGAGCACAAATATTTGGAAGGGATGGACATACCAAAAGGTTTGCAACTTTATGAAATCTCCTGTTACAGTGGTTCTTTTTATTTAGTTTCTGCAGCATTGCAACTCTTGTACCAACCACATGCAGGGTGAACGGTAAAGCATCAAATAAATAACTTTACATGAGAAATGTTTTCTGCTTCAAACAGAGGCTAATCAAAACAGAAATGTATCCACCCATCCATTTTCTTACGCTTATTTGAGGGTGAACAGTTCCCCAGCCACCTCCATCACACACTCCAGTTCATTCTGGGGGATTGCTGGCATTCCCAGCTCAGAAAGAGTAAGTGCTCTCTCCAGCATCTGTAAAACCTCCAAAGGGAGGTTCCCATAATAATAATCTTCCAAACGTTCAGTAGGAAATATTTAAACTGAAACTTATTACAATGAACTAAGAATATGATCACAACATGCCATCAAATCCAAATTGACCAGGTGATGCTCATTTCATCTCTTGTACATTTCATACTTGACTCTTCTCAGATGCTTACTGTGAATGTTTTGCATTGACCATCCATCAATTCATGTTGCTTTGGCAACATGAATTGATGGATGTTTTTTTTTTTTTTTTTTTTTTGAATGACAAAGCAGTTCAGGTTGAAAAAAGTCCAAGCCTGTTTTAATTACCTGCCAGTATGTCCATACTTTTAAGCATTAGTGTTTACTGAGGTGGCAGACTTCCATGGCAACATTGAGGAAAAACTGTCTAAAGACAAGTCTGTGTTATTGGAACTAAGCAACAAACTTAACCCTCTCTTTCTTTCTGATTTCACATCTTGCAGTAGAGGTTGCATCATCCCCTGGTCTCAAAGGTTTAGAACTGTGGCTAACTTTTGTCATCTGCCTCTCCCTCCTTGCTTCATGCAGTCCAAACATTTTTTTGTGCAATGTGTATCTTTTTTTTTGTTTGTTTTGTTTTTCGGAGCTGCAGTGGCTCACATGTATTATTGATGTCGTCGTTCTCAGTTTGCTGCGTTAAACCCAGTAATGGGAGACAATAGCAGAGACACGCAGGCACATTACTGTGAGGTGGGGTTCAGTAAGTTCTCCACGCAGTGCGATGTCATATCTGTCACATTACTGTGAAATTTCCAAGCTGACTAATAATCTTTCCAGAAAAAAAGACTCTCCTCAAACTCCTTTTACCTTTTTTAGAAGAATCTGACGGCCCCAGATCTGAGATATTTTGGATGATCTCGCATTTCTTTCTACCTGCCCATGTTTATAGCAACAATGTTCGCATTGCCATGGCAGCATTTCACACGGTTCTCATGATTGCTTGTTTTTATAGCGTCGAATTGCACATGGCTATGACATAATGGCTTTGTAAGTGGGACGGTCCAATGTTGACCTCATCAAAAGATTAGATAACATTTTGTTTTCAGTAGCATCCTGGTGCTGGACTTTGACTTCCTGTCGTCCGCTCGTCTGTTTTACTTGGCACCTCCACTCATCGAAACGTCAAGTAGATAACCTTCATCAAGTGTCACTTTACGTGGTGATGGACTCCATGTGTTAAATGTAGCATGTGTCTAATGTGGTCCTGTTACAACTATAAACTTCTAAATGTTTGGCTTTTTGTTTTTTACTATTCCCCTTTGCCCATCCTGTCAGTTTATGTGGATGCATACGACTTGAATATGGATTCAGAGAAACTACACACAGGTGGACGATATTTACTATGACTTGTGGTGAATTTGGTTTATTTATCAGTGTTGATTTAAGAGGCTAAATGAATGACACTCAGTTTTTACAAAACCGTGGATAATTTTTATTCCCCCCCCCCATTTATGTGCTATTTTGTCTGTCACGCGCAGCCCTAATGATATAGATAAAAGTTTGTAATGGGACAAAATATGTATTTAAAAAAGAAAAGTTCAAAGGGTACCATAAGCATATTTCTATCAGTTACTGAAACGCTCTCCGCCTCCATCCGACCTGACTGAATGGAAATTAGCAGAATACTGATGAGTCTGGGAAACAGGCAGTCCTTATCTCCGTCTGCACGCCGAGACCGTGCCAGGGTCACACATTATGGTTGCAAAGCCTTCTGCTGCTGCCTCCAGACTTCCAGCCTGCTGCCAGTAAATGTGCTCTAAGAAGTGCTTTTAGGTCTGGATGGCAGAAGAGCCCATCTGTGTTTGTGCGTGTCCTCCGGGACGGTCCCATGGGAACCATTGAAGCTGACGACAGCTTAGCGTTTCTGTTGCCGTCGACGGGGACGGGGCTCCCAGTCGGGTTTTATTTTCTCGTCTCTATTCATGAACCTCATGGTAAACATTAATGCTCGCACAGTCCCTGTCCTGTGAGATTTACTGTGAGGCCTGAGGGACAGTTGCTGTGCTATCTGTTGCAGCATGTGACGGTCAGACGTGCCTTGTGATTTGACGGTTTTATGGAAACACAAAGATCTTCTTCTTCAGTGAGACATCCAAGGCCGAATGGTGTCTTATTTTTCTGTTTTAAGCTGTTCTTCATCTCCTTTTGAGCAACCATTTCTACTTATTAGTAAATCAATAAAGCGGTTTAGTCATCTGTCAGCATTGTGAGTTAGAGGACAAAGGCTAATGTCTTGTCTCACAGTTTAGCCGCAGAGTTTTGCTGTGTGTTGTTTACGCTTTGTGAATTTGCCTCTGCAGCACGGCCCTGAGCTGCTGCTTCTGTCTGGTTGACTGAGTCTCTGGCTGCTGGCCTAATCGATCTGCTGGTGTGTTATTACACCAATTTGAACAGGTGCTGCAGAAGCAAGTCCCTTTAATTTCTATTAAACCAAAACTAATTTGTGTCCAGGTCCTTAAAAAACGCACCTTCTTCTTGACCACATCAAACAAGGTTAGTAATTCTGCCTGTGAAATAAGATCTGGTGTTATTTGGATACCAACAAAAGAGATTGTTTTAATGAAGGAATAGACAATAGATGTACAATATCTAAACAGTTTAGCTTCATTGTACGAAGTATTTGGGTCTACCATTTTCTGTTTACCATTTGATGCACGATGCAGCCAGTTTGATGCATGAGTTTTGTCAAGATTTTTCATAAACTTTTCAAATGTATAGTCAATCCGTAATCAATTTTGAAGCTTTAAGTTTAAAACTTATTTCCATCCTTTTACATTTCATCGGCTTTTCTGAGGATGAGTGGCTCTGTCCAAGCCACTCGGCCGGGCTTAAGGAAATAAATGTAGCCTCTCCTTTTCTGATTTGTTGGCAGTTTTTTTTGTTGGTTTTTAGCTGGACCCTGTTTTCACTTTCTAATCCCAAAGATGCACCAACTCACTGTTTTGCGGTAGAAAGCGACAGAGTTGGACTTGGACATGGTTGACTGCTTAGTTTGGTCTCAGAAGAAAAAAAAATCTTCCATTTCATTTATTTCATACAAAGCTGCTCTGTGCTTATTTTGTTATGTATGATTGGACAAAATTTCATCATCCTCGTCACACGACATAAAAATTGGTACATGGCGGGCAATAAAGAATATTTTAATTATGTGGTAATAAGGTGCTGTTGATGGGTTTTCCTGCCTCCTATGTTGCATCTCGTGCCATGAGATTCCCACTACACCCTTAGTTATTACTTTATGGCCGTTTCCTGTGGTAGTAAAACACAAAGAGGAAAACTTAGTAGAAATGTTATACAGCTAAAGAGAATGTTGATTGTAACCACAGACATGTGGAAGAGAAACAAAAATGACCAAAACGCAAACTTTTAGCCTGCATTTTTGTAAGTTCAACATCTGGAGATAAAACATTTAGGATCAGAGCATTCTCGTGAAATAATAAGCTTAATGTGAGAGTAACTTGTGTTGTTTTTCCATTTCAATTCATCTACTGAAAAGAAATGGGGTTAAAAAAGGAATTCATATATATATATATATATATATATATGTGTGTTTTTTTTTTTTTTTGTTTTTTTTAACAAAGAATGTTGTTCATATAGACGAGTAACTTAAGACTGAAGTTGTGCTCTCTTGTATTTCATGTGGTGTGTGCTGACTCCTTCAAATATGCAACCTGAACACACATTCCGTGCACTACTAATAATAGTACGTTGATTGGTTGTTTATTGCCATTTTTATTAAGCT